TCCTTCCTTCCTTTCTTCTTTCCTTCTTTCCTTCCTTCCTTCTTTCCTTCCTTCCTGATATATAGAGTATTATTCGCTAATATGGCTCAGCCTTAAATTTGGAATTCTCCTGCACCAGCCTCCTGAGTGCAGGGAATGAAGGTATAAAGCACCAAACCAAGCACACTAATTACCTTCTGTTTTTCTTATTTGCATTCTTTTTTTCCATTAAAATCTTAATTTCTTGTGCTTTCCCAGTAATACTCTCCACAGTGTGGAATGTTCTGGTTTCATGACACCCTCAGAGACCTCTTTAACAGAGCCCTCCACTCCTCCTACTCTAACGAAGACTGGCTGTCTTCTAAACTGCTGAGTAAGCTCATCTCTCAGCTGTTTTTCCTGGTGGGACTAAGTAGCACCACCAGTCAGCTGGATGGTATTGTTGCTCTAGTCAGGTAGAAACTGTGAGTAGTCAGGAGAAATTCTTCAACCCTGGCCACTGGCAGCTTTCATTTGCCACTCAGTGTTTGGTAGCAGGCAACCACAGGTAACATCTTTCCATTAGAGTTTTCCCTCAGGCCTCCAGTACCCAGATCCTCAGAGGGCAAGTGTTAGAGCCCTTGTATAGGCCTAGGGGTTTGGGATTCCTCAGCCCTTGGCAGTGTTAGGGTCTTGTTGCTGTCATTTTAGACCTAGGAAGTTGAGATTATTTAGCCTTTAACACCAGCTAGTGTCCGTGCTCTTGGCTCAGGGCCTGAGGCCTTTGATCCTAAAGACCTTATGACTCTCTGAAAGTCTTCTGCAGCCAACTTGCAATGTCCCTTCTGGCCCTTTGAAGTCTTCTATCTTTCTTTAGGCACAGAGAAGTCCCTTGCCTTCTCTGTCTTCACTGCCTTCTTCTGATGCTCTGTTTCCTCTTCAGCTGTCAAGCAGCCAGCTTCCTTATCATGAAAACCAATTGTGACCTTAAGGGACTTTCACGTGGCCAAGGGAGAGATGGGCCCCTCCCTTTCTTGTCTTGGTAGGGCTACTATGTCCTGGAGCCTATGGTCTGTCAGATACTCCCTTACTCTGCTGAAGAGACATTTCCAAGTAACTCCCTTAAGAGGTCTGAAAAGAAGATAAATTCCCCTTGGGTCTCCCATCCTCAGGCCTATTTTGTGTATGTATTAAATAAAGGTGCCAGGCCAGATGCTCTCTCATGTCTATTCCAAGAGTGTAATGTTGTCAGTTTGTGTCCATTTACATCATCTGAGCTCTAGGAGAAAATTTTAAATAGTTGCTACTCTCAAGGGATTTGCAGTTTCTTTGTCTGAACACATATAAACTCTCAAACTAGTAAGAGAAAGTCATCAATACAAAAGACCCTGCAAGGCAGGGGGTGATTGGTTATAGACCAGTCTTGGGCTAAAGGAAAGAACTAGAAGCTAAGCCAGCCTGAGGCATCCCTGCTGGAAGGAAGACCTCTGTCCTGTCAGAGAATAAGCAGTGAGTTAAGGGAGGGATAAATGTTTATGTGACCATCAGCAGTAGACTGACGGCCAACATTAGGTCTGATGTAATAATTAATGGTCAGTGGACAAGGCCTCCCTGTTACCTGTTCAGTCTCTTTGAGTCATTAACAGTTATAACTTACCAAATCACAGCCGGTAATAATTTTTAAATATGGCAGCATAGTGATACCCTTCATCAACAGACATGTTTTCAGACCATTTTAGGGCACAACAATTAACTTGCATTACACACACACACACAAACACACATGCATACATGTATATCTTCATGAAACATGAAGGACTTGGCTGGCAATTGCCTTTATCAGTAGTTTATCTGGATTGGGATAAAGATGTCTCTCTTCACCACCATATCACCACTTGACACGATTATTTTTCAGCCTGGATGTGTAGCTCAATGGTATGGTGCTTGTTTAGCCTGTAAAGAGCCCTGTATTTGATCCCTAACACCACAAAAATAAGAGAATAAACATTTTAACTATGACAATAGGAAGTGATTATAAATTGTCTCTCTTTCCCATGCATACCCTAGGCAGGGAGCATCACTCTTATTGATAGACCTTATTATCCAAGGAACATCATTGAATGAATGGGGAGGATCCTGGAGGATTTAAAGGATATGGCTCCTCCAAGGCATGTCTCATAGACTAATGGGCCTAAGTAACCAGCAATATGGGGTGGTGGGTAGTTATCATTCAGCCAATGCCAGTTCCCCTCTTTGTCATGAAAAAGAAAAAAGAAAAAGAACTTGTAAGAAAGGAAATTTTCAGAAGAAAGAATCTTTATGTCAGTGGTCTGAGTACTTTCTAGAATGGAGTGTGTGGGGCCAAAGGAAGAGTTTCCCTACAACTGCCTCTCCTTGAAAGCATCCTCTAAAAACCCTGCCCCACCCCTAGGAAGAAGGAGCTGCTACCCTCCAAACATGGAACAAATTCAAAGTTTATATTAATTCTCCTGCACAGGCTTTGGTCTTGGCTGCTTAATTCATCTTCATACCCCCAGTGCCTGACATATGGTGATGCCCGAGTTGGCCCAATGAAGGGGTAGATGGATTAGAAGAAGCTGCATTTCATCAAAGAGTAGAAGAAGCAGTCTGAAAACTCAGTTGTCTCTGGAGCTTTGAACAAGCCAGGGGAATTAGCAGAAGTAGACCTGAGCCAAGAGGAGGACTTCCAAGAGCTGAGAGCATCAAACCACTCCCCAGCCAGGGCAGTGGAGAGAGCAGGAAGGTGGTGGGGGGCGCCTTGGAGGTCTGTGGTTATGTGGTCCAGGACACCATGCAGGTACAGAGGGAAGCAGAAAGATCAGAAGCAGAGCTGCCACTGTACCAGCTACCCCGTCCAGAGATGAGGCAAACAGGGGCAAAGCAGAGTGTGGCAGTGTGCAAGCCAGTAACCCCAGCACATGGACATCTGAGGCAGAAGGATTGCTTTGAGCTTGTGGCCAACCTGGACTGCCTAGCAAGTACCAGGACAGCCAGGAATATATGGTAAGACCTTATCTGAAAAAGAAAAAAAGGAGAGAGAGAGAGGAGAGCAGGGCAATGGACCCCCAATATCTAGACTGCTTTTTATAGTAAGCCTTGGGTTTTAACCTCTCACATTTCATCAGTCCAGTTTCCTAGAAAACCAGGCATCCTGCACCCTGTCCCCCAAATGCCTAGGTTAACTTGCTGAAATTACAAGTCAATATACCACATTTTACCTGTTATTTCTTGTGTAGTTTGCTTATTTCCTCCCCCCCAAGTTTCTTAGAAAGCTCTGTGTGTGTGTGTGTGTGTGTGTGTGTGTGTGTGTGTGTGTAAACTCCCTGGAGATAGTCTTACAAAGAGAAATGTAATAAGGTTTTAGGGGTGAGAGGGGATGATGCTATCATAGCAGTAGGGCTTAGGTAGAAAGATGCCTAGCGTTGCACAGACTGGTGCATCATGAGCAGGCCCCTGCTACCTCCTAGAGCAGGTTTCCCACAAGTCTGGTTCCCTCCCCAGCAACAGCTCCATGCAGCCCTGCCCACCCGATTCCATAGCATTTTTCTCAAAAGCCTACGATATGTTCATTTCAACACTTAGAAAGAAAAAAAAATTCTACCAAGATGCACCTTGCCTTGTGATCTTGGTGTTCTGGGGGGAAGTAGGTGACATTTTTGACCATGGAAATTAACACCAACTTGTCTCCTGGCAGTATCAGTTAGAGTTGGCCTGATTACATCAAACGTGGACCAGCCTGCTAAAGGCATCTTTCCAGGAGGGAGGCCCAGCTCAAGGATCTGACTTTCTACTCTGACAAGACTCCTAGCCACAGCATCCCTTAGGGGCAGAAAGATTTAAGCTCCTGACAAAACCCCACAGGTTAGGTTGAGTGGGTGTGGCCTTCAAAACCACCACAGAAGAGGTCCCTGATGAGCCTGCTAGGAGCAAGGCCATGAGAAAGGCCAGAGTGAAATAGAAGGCCACTTCTAGCTGACCTCTGCTTTTGGGAACTTGCAGCCATGGCCAGGCAACTGGCTGGCTGGCAAAGGCCGGCTCTCTAGAGAATGCGTAAGATCCCTGCTTCGCCAGCCCGCTGCTAAGAAGGGTCCACTGGTGGCAAGCAATCAAAGCTGGAGTCGGGGAGGGGCATGCAGTCAGAGATTTGAGGCTGGAAAGAGGAAATCCGGAGAGCTCTCATTCGCTACCTCTACTCACCCTAAGTCACTATTTTGGGACAGGGATTTCACTAGGGTGTGTCCAAACAGCCAGAGAGCCCCACACAGACTTACTGGGGAGCGTTCTCTGCTTTCTAACCAGTTCACTTCTGGCCACATGCAGTCCAAATCCACAGGCATGTAAACTGTATAATAAAGTCACCCTTCCCTACCCTCGGTGTGCTGTGGGGGTTCTGGTAAAAATGCAGGCACCAGGAAAAGAGACTCTGGCTAAAGAGCTGTGACGCCCCACAGGCTCCATCCACTCCATGTGAAAGTATGACCGGGTACAGTGTGTCTCCTAAATCTGTCTCCCCTCCCCCAGCTCAATCGACTTCTCAGACTCCCTGGAGCTTGGTCACCCTCCTACCACCACCACCACCTCAACCATGAGTTCCTCCTGTTCTGCCTCCTCCCTTCCCGAAGTAGTGGGATCACAGAAAGATGCGCTTGGTAGGGAAGAAGTGTCAAGATTCCACTCGCTTGGACGGTAGCCTAGCCTGGAGCCAGGGAACCTTTGGGTCCCTGCCTGGGGCTCCAAGATGTTCTGCCAAGTTTATAGCTCTTCTCTACCTGGCCACCTCGCTTGCGGGTCAGATACCCCAACGTGGCACCTCTCCCTCTCCGTCAGGAATGCCCACTCCGCAGGTTTCAGCCACCTGCCAGAAGATCAATCGTGAGGGCACAGTCTGAGACCGGTGGGCACACCCACGGGTCTCAGCCAGTGCCCAATCCCTGCTCTGCCCACTCCTCGGCAGGCAGCCCAGGTCACAGGGGCCGCAGTGGTTAAAGGGGTCACAAGGGTCCCGTCCCCCCACTCCTTACCCAATCCCGGCACGAAAGTGTTGAGGAAGAGACAGATGACAGCCACCGGGAAGGGCATGTAGGGGATGGCGGCGCGAAGGGGGCCCTTCTTCTCGCGAACCTGCACGACCACCCCGCTGGACGACGACGCCCCCCGGGGATCTGCTGCTGCCACTGCAGCCGCCGCCGCTGCGGTCTCGGCGTCTTTGTGCAAAGGCTCCATGGCAGGACACGCTCTCCAGGAACCCGACAGCCGCCCAGGACACAAGGGGAGGAGACGGCCGGCAGCCGGCTGTGGGCTGCACGCTCGCCGCCCTGCTCAGGAGGCCAGCGCGCTCCGGGTGCGGGTGCTGCGAGGCTGGCAGTGAAGCCCGCCCTCCCGCGCTTCACGCCCCCACCCCGGGCGGAGGGCGGGAGGGGCAGCGTGACACTTGGTGACAGCGCTCCCTCGCCCCTCCCCTCCGGGCCCCTTCCCCGCCCCCTCCACACCTCTCAGCTAAGCCCATCATTCACCGGCAATAGAGACCCAGGCGAGGGAAGAAAGTGCTAGTAAAGTGCAAGGATGCTTGTGGTCCAGCTACCTGGACCCTCCTACCACTGATGAACTGAGAACCTCACTCAAGGTCCCCGAGAGCTGGTCGTGCACTAGACTAATCCAATTTGAAAAGCCTAAGGGTTGAGTCTCTGAGTGTGCATTTAATGCTAGGGAAATGGAGGCTAGGGACACGGGGAACCTGATATCTAGGAAGTCTTCAGCTCACTCTGCATTTCGAGTCACGGAGAAAAAGCAACGGGTTTCAAGTCACAGATAATGTTAGGACTAAAAGCGAGACATGTCACTTGTAGCTTTATAAACCCGTGCATGTCTGCAAAAGATGTTCCCTTCACATGCCCCCACACACACACAAAGAGAGAGACATACACAGACACACACACACACACACACACACACACACACACACACACACTGTCTCACATACAGATTCACTCACGGAGACGCGAAAAAAGGAAAGGAATGCTCCATCAAGAGGGAGCAGGTAATGAGAACCATGCCCTGACCAGTGTTGCAGCCACCTGGGCCATTTATGACTGACTACCTGGTGGTTAAAAACTATTGCGAGCACAGCGCCTCCTGCTGTTGACAATGCACCAGTGGGAATTAACAAAAGGATTTGGCAGAGTTCAGACCAACAAATGCGAGTAGAATTCGGGCTTTCTCATTCATTAAGATTCTTCATCTTGAATAAGTGAATGGACAAAAGTAACCTCCTCTAACTGGCATGGTGCTTCACACTTGCAACCCCAGGCCCTGAGAGGTGGAGGCAAGAGGTGTTCTTCCTATCAAGTTCAAGACCAGGCTGAGCAAGATCACACTTCTAAATAGATGAATAACTTCAAAGTGTACTAGGTAAGCTGCAGGACTGAGTGATTACATTGATGGCACCGTAGAACCAGTGACAAATACGAGATGAGGGGTGCCGAAGATGCTGAAGGTCCTGTAACTGAGACCTTCCTGTGTGGCCAGCTGTAGGGGAGCTATCAATTACTAAGTCCTCTCCCAGAAAGTGACATATGTCAAGATTTAATGACTAACTACTTGCCAGTGTGTTTTGTCTTAAACATTTATTGCAGCATCATCTGATGGAAACCATCCTAAACTCTTAGCCATATTTAATGCTTGCCGTAACTCTAAGAGTATTTGTTGCACATTACCCTGTTTTATAGGTGGTATGACATATTACCCAGTTTTATAGGGAAAGCAACTGAAGCATTGAGAGGTTACATAAATCCATAACGATATGAATGCAGGTGATCTCAACCTAGAACCCATGTGCATAACTGTTATTTCATCTAAAGATCGGGAAACTAACCTCTTCCTGACCTATGAAGACAGACAATGGGAGAGACAATTCCTAAATGATAACAGACAAAATTAGCCAACAGAAAAAAGCTACCGTGTTCAAGGGGCACATTTCTCACTTTTCTTACTGTCATGATCAAATACCTGACAAGAAGCACCTACAGGGAGGAAGGTCATTTGACTTACAGTTTGAGAAGACACAACCTACAATCCACCGTGGCAAAGGGAAGGCCTAGCAGGAGGATCACGAAGCAGCTCCTGCCTTGTTTGCTCCTAACACTTGCTGGTAAACGATTTCCCCAAAGCCTTTTCCTTGGGACCACAGAATTCCACTTGCTCACTTCACTCTGCCTGTCCCAGCCCTCTTTCCTACTCTCCTAGGAGTCTGTCCCCAGCGCCCCTGACCCATTTTCTCCCTAGCATTTAGCTTCTGCTCTTTTTCCATAACCAGCCAGCCTTACTTAGCCAATTACTTGCTGGCCCACTTAGCTCCTAATAAATCCATTAAGCTGTAATCAACCCTCTGTGCATCCTTAAGATAACTCTCTTGATTAAAGCTGGTGGTGATTAAGACTGAGGGTCTCTGTAATCACAGCTTAAAACCTGAACAATATGTTAATTTGATTGGCAGGAGGAAAACAAAACAAAAACAAAAACAAAAACCAGTTCATCTAGCCAGGTCCTGACCATGCAACTGCCTGCCATCCTTCTCCTTCAGCCTGAAGACTGAGAGTCAAAAACCCAGTCTTTGAGGCGGGCAAGAAGCCTGAAGACTTCTAGCCTCCTCATTGGAGAGAGCACCCTTCTTCCAGATCTTGCATCACCAGTTTCCTCTATCCATCCCCTAGATCTCTTCCCTACCACATATACACACTAGGGCAGGGCTTTCTGGGAGATGTCAGTCTCTGAACTGGTCTGGAAATTCCCTATCATGTGGAGCTATTCCTGGCAATAGCGGTAGGGGACTTTAGGCTCCAGTGACCTGACCAGAGGGGGCATGTGTGGAAAGGGGTTGCTAGGAAGCACAGATGATGAATATACCCCAGGAACTGAAAGTCAGACTTGTCTCCTCCCCACTCACCAAAGCACTGAGTAGAGAGGGAACAAGGACACTCTATGGAGACAGAGATACCAACTATCCATCTCTCTCTCTCCTCTCAGCATCCTTAAGATCAAGCCTGACTTCCACAGTTGTTCCATCTGGAGCCCCAACTCCCCAACCCATGGCTAGCAGAGGCTGGTCCATCCTAGACAATCATCAATATGGACTGGGTTTTCTCACTCATCCAGGTGCCAACCAATATGATGCACTGACATCTTCTCAGGAGTGGTAGGAATCTCAGAACCGAAGATGTTCTCAAAACTGAGAAAAGATGGGGGGGAAACAAGAGGGATGGAGGAGAGAGGGAGAGGGGAAAGGAGAGAGAGGGAGGGAGGGAGGGAGGGGAAAGAGAGAGAGAGATGGGGCAGGAAGGAAGAACACAAAGATAGAGGGAGTGCTTGCCTTTGACCTTGAAGGTCATCTCCAACCCCAAGGGTGGTCTATCACTGTAACAAAACACCTGAGATAGTAAGTTTGTAAACAGGTTTCTTTTAGCCCAGTCTGTGATCAGTCAGCCCTGACATCCCACCTTGTGGTGGGAGCATGTAGTGGAGAAGCCAGGCTAAAGAGAATGAAGGATGGTGTCTCACTGTCCTCTTTGAGAACATAGCCCCAGTAACCTAGCAGCTCCTGTCAGAGTCTTCCTCCTAAAGGTCCACCACCTCCACACAGTGGCAAGCTAGGGATCAAGTCTGGCTGGCCCATGGGCATTAAGGGAAGACTCTAAATCCAATAGATAGTGAGTCGTGTGCAATCATACTCACCGCCATGGCATTTAACTAAGCAAGCAATAGCCTGCAAAACAAAACAGGGAAGAGCCAGGGATAGCTCAGTTGGCAGAGCGCTTGCCTGACATGCATAAAGTCTAGGAGTTGACCCTAGTGCCACAGAAACCCAGCATGGTAGCATATACCCGTAATCCCAGCACTTGGGAGGTTGAGGAAGGAGGATTGATTGGGAGTTCAGGATTATCTTCTCCAATGTAGAGAGTTTGAGGCTTGTCTGGGATACCTGAGATCCTGTCTGGAAAAAAAGAAAATTAAGAAAAGAAAGTAACAACAAAGCCAACCGAGATAGCAGGGGCTGTACTCTTCGTCATCTACGAGTCACCAAGATGGGTCAGCAGAACTAGTGTCTGCTTAGTGAGCTCCCTTTAAGTCTGTCCCTGCAGCCCTCTGGGAGGTGTAGTCTTTCAGCCCCTGACCAGCATCCCTGCCCTACCTCCTGTCTCACGAGGCAGCACACTGGCCCCAGATGCTTTGGCACGGGTTGCGTGGTCCTCTGCTTCCTGTGATGACACATGGGGACATGAAGCTCTGTTATTCTGGCAGGCACCACAGACTGGTCCTTCTCAGCATCTAGTTCCTGGCGTAGGTTGATTTGTTTCTTTCTTAACCACCCGGCACGTATGTCAGTACCTCTGAGGCTTGGCGAGGTGGGGGAGGGGTGCTGCTATGCAGCAAAGGGAGACAAAATGCCCAGGGGCAGCTCTTTCTGCCCTGTGTCCAGCACCCCTAAAACCCTTCAGGATACTTAGCACAGCTTCAGGAATCCAAGCCATGGCTAGTACCAACCATGACTATGTCCTGGACATGTACAGGGCACACACTGATGACCTATGAGCTTATGTGTGTTATCATACAGGCTTGGTGTCTGACAGTCCAGGGAGGAGAACCCACCTCTACCACTCACTAACTTTATAATCTTAGGACCCAAGCTTAGACTCTCAGAGAGTTTGGTTTCTATATTTCCAAAATAGGGGCAATAGTAGTACCTGCACACTAGAGGACATCATCAAAGCTGAATACCATGCTGACCCCTAAGCAGCTCAGCTAGCAGACCCACTACCATAATCATCATTTCTAACCCTCTACAGAGGAGGCAGGACAATTCCCTTAGTATCAGACATCAGCAGAACACCATCATACAAGTGCAGGTGACTTGTCAGGCCAGTCAAGAGACCACCCTAAGACAAAACAAGAGATGGTCCTATGGGACAAAGCAGATGTGCTAAGGAGTGGTTAAGAGTAGCCTTTTTGACACCCAAATATACCATTTTTTTTGACTAGCTAGTCATGGCCGTCTCTGTCCACCACAGTCACTTCTTCAGGATTAATGGTACTAACACACTGGCCCCTTGGAGTGATTCAATTCTTACTCCAGTTACTTTGACCTTGCCCAACAACTAAGAGGAAACTTTTGGGGTAAAATGAAAAACTGATTCTTCATTGCAATCAACATTTGCAGTAAAGCCATTTGGACAAAAAAGATATGCTGTGTTACAGAGATACACTGTA